ATATCTTCTTTAATAAATATCATATACTTTATTATTAATTATTTATATTTCATATGATATAATTAAATTTATAAGTATCTATATTAATAAAAGCTTTTAAATATATTATTTTTTTATATATTTCCCTTGTATTCTAAATATAAATTCAAGGAAATGGGTGATTTTTATAAAAATTTGTTTTCTTTTTTTTAATATCACTTATTCGGTTTTATAAAATATCAAATATTTAAGCAAAATATTTTAAGTTTACATAAAATAAAAAAAATGGAAAGAAACTAAGAAAGACAGGTCGCTGAGAGAGGGAGAGAGGGAGAGAGAGAGAGAGAGAGAGAGAGAGAGAGAGAGAGAGAGATGGGGTTATCAAAGTATGTGAGAGTCAAAATGTGCAATAGTGAGAACATTGAGAGTGAGAGAAAAAGAAGCGAGGGCGGTGTTTTATGATTGCGAGATCAAGCGATAAATTGGCCCGTTGGCCGCGATATTTGCAATGGTAGATGAGAGTAAAGCTAACCATCGATTATTTATTGCCTGCGAATGGATAATTAAAAGGAATGAGATGAGATGCCCTCGCGGGACGTTTGACCGTTTCCTTTTTCTATTTTGCGCTTCTCTTTTAATCTTTCTCTCTCTCTCTCTCTCTCTCTCTCTCTCTCTCTCTCGCTCACTCTCTTCATTCTTCATTATTCGAATTGTAGAGTGTCTTAGTATAAATTATTGCTTTCGTTTCTTTTTTCCGCAGCGAAAGACTTTTTGATGTCTTGGGCATTATCACGCGATATGCTTACTAATTGGTATTTATGTAGCGAGTATACACTTTTTTCATATCGTGACATTCAAATCTTAAATCTATTTAATTTTATAATCGGTTACTATATGATCATGGGAAAAATTTTGGTAAATCATTTATATAATTTATTCACTGATGTCATCTTTTACTATATACAATTTACGTTCTTTCGGAGTGATTGAGTGATTCTTATGAATACAAGTAAGAATGAAAAATAAAACTGCAATTTAAGAATTTAATTTTCATATAAAATATTTATATTTTTATAATTTTTTCTAAACAAAATTAATTATTTAAAAATTAATTTAAAATATTATAAGATAAAAATGATTATAAATACTGCTCAATTATTGTTATTTTTAATTAAGAAAAATTCTGATTTCTATACTTTTATTGACTATTTTGTTTATTTACAATTGGAATTTCATTATGATAAACATACAATGGTAAATTCAATGAACGAAGTTTATCTGCTTTATCCCTTCTCTTCTCGCTCCCTTCATTCTGCCTTGTTATTTCACAAGCCACACCTGCATTAAACATTAATAAAAGATGAAATATTATTAATGTCTCGGTTAAATGACTTTCGACCCAAGCTTAACTCAAAAATATCACCTTTTCGCTAGAACACCCAACAGGAATTTTGTACCCATTTTCAAGTGCAAATATGATTCAAAGGATAAAAATGGAGAAAAAAGACAAAAAGATTGATCTTACCAGTTGAACATGGCGAAAAATACAAAAGCGGAAGCATAAGATATGAGTACGTGAAAAGGAAAAAATGGGACTCGGAGAATGAATGAAACTGATTAAAAATAAAAGGCTAAGAAGATATAAAGAGTAGAAAATAAAAATTACAATGTTCCAAATCAGAAAAATATTACAATAATTATAGTTTCTTATTTTCATATCACTTACACAATTAATCTTATATATATATATATACAATAATGTTTTAAAATAAAATATATGTTTTATACTGTCATTATTATTAAATCTTTGGAATCAATAAATTTAGAATTGTATATCCTTTAAAAAAATATCTGATCCCGGAAAAAAATTCTTCTACTTTTGTTTAATTACTCAAATTATCTCAATTACTTGAAAATGATATTTTTAAGTCATTAGAAAGCTACGCAATTGTAATGATATAAAAATGAAATCACTATGTGAGATTTCGACAATAAAAAAAGGATGGATTTAATAAGTCTATAATTATATAAAGTAGAGTAACAATTAATATACACTATATTCATATCTATACTTACTCATTACATTCATACTATATTCACTATATATACTATATCAAATATAACATCGAATTTCATTAATTTAGTTTCTCAATCATCATAATGAATCCTTATGTATGGCTTACCAGTATCCTCAGCATATCGCAAGGTCAAAAAACTGAACGCAGAGTATGCAATTCCTATTTTTATTTGCAATATCTACAAGAAAACTAATGTAAATCAGAATTTTATACGTCTAGTATGTGATAAAAAATATTACTGCTCTACAACTTTCCTTTGTAAGCGCACTTTCTTACAAGACCTTCCTAAATAGTTTTAAGCTTCTTTCTTCTCCTCTCCCATTCCCATCCGCTCACTCTCTGTCTGTTTCTCCCTCCCTCTCTCTCTCTCTCTCTCTCTCTCTCTCTCTCTCTCCCTCTCTCTCTCTCTCTCTCACTCTCTCCCGCTCTCTAGTAGACTCACATATTCCATTTCTTCGTGTGACTATTGCATTTAAATTTCAAACTTTTTATTTGATTCGATTCACAGGTCTGTCCATCCGTAACTTTCGTATGAGGTATAGAGTTATTTGTAAATTTTACGATTTTACCCTTGACAAGACTAATGTTTGTATCATAAATCTACACGCAGCCAACAACTGTGAAGCCTCAGCTTATTATGTGTATTGTTACAGATTTTATAAGTTACCATAAGAAGAATTAGTATGATGTTGAGCGACGATTTAATCTAGTTACTTATTCACGTATTATACATGAATTATTTTTATTTTTATTATATCACTGAACATCAATGTATCATATTTATCGATTCCCTTTTTTTTGACCGCATAAATACTTTGCGTACAATACACCTATAATACATCAATTTTATACGGACGAATCTCTTAGCTTATCCATATGTACATTATTTTTAAATGACTAAAAAAGTAATTACTGTAGAATAAAATCAATTGATATAATAATAGAATATAACAAGTTTATACAAAAATAATGATTTTAAAATAATAATAATATAACGAATATTCGAAATATAATGAATACAGTAATCCAGCATTCTATTAATATGCTTATGTAGCATTCAAATCATACTTAAATGTATTTAATAACTAAATAAAGTTCATTATTTATAATTGCTTTTAATTTATATCTTTAGAATAAAATATAATAAATTTTTATTATATTGATTAAAAAAAGAAAGATAAAAAGTGAGTTGAAGATAAGTGGAAGAACCAATGAGCCCAACATAAATGACATAACGTGCGATTATGTAATATATTAAGGATCAATTAATAAACACGAATAAGCCACTGCTGCCGACGGTCTTGTCCAATAAGAAAAATGCAAATGCATGCACTTCCACACCAACGGCGATTTCTTGGTGATGTACGTGTACTTAATTTTCTTTTTATATTATCATCTCTGTATCTGCCTTCTTACTATTAAATTTTATTACCTCTTATTCAAGAGAATATGAAGGGCTTCCAAAAATTTTGTGATAGATTCCAAAGATTTTGTGAAATTTTGTCCAAAAAAGATTGTGATCACATTTGAAAAAAATTTGAAATTTTCGATTTTTCGTAATTTTCATTAATATTTTCTTGAATTGTAGAGTATTAGAAAGTGTACATATATATATTTTATGTGTATATATATATTGAATGTACTATTGAATAAATTTAAGTTCAATTTTTTTGCATAGTTGAAGGGAGAGTTAATTTACTTAATACTAGTATAAAAGATAATTATTTCAATTCTCCGATAATCGTAAATTATTAATAATCTTATGTAGCCATTTTATATAATCAAATACACTACACGAATAATAAGATTTTAGAAAAAATAGTCGATATATTAAAGAAAAAAACAATACGTAGGCATACTTATCTTTATCTTTTTCATATATATGTTTTTATTTTATTTTCCTCATTTATTCATAAGCGGATGGATCGTTATGTATAAATATATCTAACATAAAAGTATGTAATATCAGAAAAATGAATGGTTATTTGAAATATAGCATTTGTTAGTTTGATGCTGAATTTGGAAATTTTGAAGTTTGCTACCATAAAGCTTGCTCGCTAAATGCATAGCAAACTGTATATACATTACAAACTATAGTCAATATATAGCAAAAGCCTGCAATCTGTGACGTAATGAATAAGCCAGCTTTTCAAATGTAAACGCATGCGAGCAGAGTATCACACTTGTGTGATTTATGCCTGAAGTCACGGGACTCGTTAAATGCGTGATATATAATCGCACCGATGCTTCATCTTTAAGTTCAACCGGTTATTATTGAAGGAATTTAGTTTACCAATGCATTGGGTGCAAAGGTTAAATTTTTTTTTTTGTTTGCCGCGATTGTGTTATCATGTTAATATGTTCTATAGATATAAATCTGTTAAGCTTCTGCCTTTCTTTCGAGTTTTTTATTGCTATATTCCAAATAACTAAATATTACTTTCCTTTGTTCATGAAGCGTAATATAATATCGCCATAATAGAAGTATAATATCCTATTTGATAATCATAAATGATAATCATGATACATCTCTATGGCTTTACACACGAATGACCTTAATAATTGATCTACTTCATAGGCTTCGAGGCTCGAATCGGGAATGGAAAAGAAAAACATGTTTTATAGCAATTTTTATATATTTCCTTGACCGCGGCACGCTGTTCGATTGTTTGAAACACTCGAAAAATAAACTAATCGATACCGTTTCTTTATTGTCAACAAAACGAAATAACCAATCAAAACGCCCCCAACGAGATAAGGCCTAGTAATGAGTACCGCGAACGTCTTCTGCACTCGGCATTGGCGCGAGAAATTTCATCAAGTCAGCCTTCGGCAAGAGGAGGGAAGAGAGGGAGCGATAGAAAAGTGGGTTGATAGCTGAGAGTAAAGAGGAAGAGTCGAGGTGAAATGTGGGCAACGCGAGAAAAGCTCTTGTTCACCTACCATGAAAACCATGAACCTTGATTGCAGGTTGGCGCTCCTGATGTAAGTCAGCGTCGTTTCTAGCCACCGCCTCCTCGCGCCGCTGCTCGACTCCTCGCGCTGAAACTCCGTGGCTTACGTTCGCACGATGGTGGTGGCCTACGCCTCAACCTAATCGGCTTCGCTTTTTATCGTCGCAAGCGCGCTTCTTTGCCTTTTTATTGCTGCGTTCGCATTGCTCTGCCCGTGTGCGATTATGTATTTGTGGGTAAGGAGAGTTCACTGATGTGGATTGGCCCGGCGACTCTTCGTTACACGCTCTATAGACACTGGCTCTGCTCTACTGGCATTGGATTGGCATACTGGCATAAATACTGGCCCGTTCGTGTCTTTGAATACCTGCAACGAATGCAAAAATCAAAGATTAATATTTATTAGTTAGATTTATGGACTATCAATGAATGAATTTTTTTAAAGACAATTCAAATACATATTTTCAGAGACTTGTTTAATCTATACTACATGCCGTAATGCGCCTGCTAGTGTAAGTTTTTATTGATACAATTTGATTATGTAAGTTAAATTGACACTTACAGCGCGAAAGTGCTTACTTTACATTCAATAGCTAAAATTGCAGGCTTTGAAATTACGAAAAATTACAGTAGAACAGTTCTCTATATGATATTATAGGTATGTATTACGCTGATGTATAGAGAAATGACTTTTAGACTTGATGAATTACAAATTTATGCACTGAATATGCAATAGATTATTTACATGGTTATTTTATAGTTCAAAGAGGGAAAAAAATCTGTATTTAAAATTGTTAGATAATATCAGCAGTTTCTAAATAATTTTAAACTGAATTTTCAAATATTCGACTTAGGAATGACAATAATGCCAAAAAAGCAATATTATATATTTTTCAATAAGACAGGTACTTGGATGCTTTCATAATATAACTTCGATTTTTTTTTAATATTTGCTACATAAGACAATTATTTTTAACAATCAGTTTCTAAAAAATATCATTTCTCACAACAAATAATTATTGCGATATTTTGAAATTTTCTTTTTATGTATAAAATATTATATTAAATTAAATATAAATAAAAGTTTACATAAATAATCATTGTAACACTATATTTTTGAAAAGCTTTCTTTTATAATTTTTATGTAATACAAAAATTATACAAAACTTTATAAAAAAGTAACGAAATGTAGATTTTTATTTAGCATCAAACGAGTTTTCGGCCTCGTCAAACTATGCATGCATATGGAGGTAAATTAATTTCTTATAATGAATTTAAAACTGCATATTACAACCATAATAAAACATATAATCCTAAATTGTTTAATTCATATATTTACTTAGTATTATATGAAAGTTAATCGAAGATACTCATGATTAATACTTCAATTATTTAAAAATTCTCGTTCATGGACTACAATTTTTTTCTTTGACGAGCTGCTGTGCCATTCGCACATTATCACACAGCATTTGCCATACTAAAATTGACAAATTTTCGAGCGCTTAGAATGTATGCACGAATGAAGTAAATCATAGATTTCACAATAATTTCTGGCAAATAGCACGGCACTCCGCAATTAAGGCGCCCGAGACTACGAAAGGTAAAGGAAGAAAAATTAAGAATAAAAATTACTCGACCTTAATACAACATTTCGCGAATTCGCTTAATATAACGTTGCTACAGCAATTCAGATGCGATTCGGCATAGCATCCATGAGCTAATTACTTACTTATTTAGGTCTCCAACTTTGGATTTAAGAATTGACTGAATTTATTATGCTCTTTAAAACAAGACTGACTATTTCCTTTTTAGACGTGTCTAATGTGAATTTAATGAACGTTGATTCAAAGAGATAACGGCGATCGGATCACAAGATGATATAAATAGTCGACAGAAATAGAAGACATTAAAATGTTACCGTTAAACATACTGGCTGACATTAATTTTAAATACTTTAGAAAAAAGTATAAATTTCTAGTAAAATTTATATCCTAATTATTATTAGCTGGATAAAAATGATGAATGTGTTTTTAAAAAAATTTATTTGTTAAATTTTTTTCTTCTTCTTAAAAATGAATTATTGTTCATCTGTTTAATAAAAATTTATATAAATAACGTACAAAATATTTTTTTTAAATGTTTGAATATTCATTTTAAAATGTAAAAACATATTCTTTAAATAAAGCAATGATTTTTATATACCTGATAGAGCATTCAATGTGTTTCAATTGTTCAACATCTATTACTGTTTCAATTTTAATCAAAATATATGAAATAAGTTCGTAAAAGTATATTTTAATGGTAATTGAAAACGAATTTGTAGGAAAATAATTTATTACAATTGTTTTTAATATACAATGAATTAAAGCAAGTCTATACTTTGTAATCAATTTCATCCAGTTTAGTCTTCGAGTATGTGATTAAATTCTGATAATAAAATAATAAATAAATTTTTTTAAAGAATGTAACGTAACGCTATTATTACATACATATGATGACAATTTAAGGGTAATAAATTTTGATTAAAAACTCAAAATTATTCTTGAACAGAAAAAAACGAACTTAAAATAATTATAAGAAATTAAATATTACCACTCTGAATAAAGTAATTAAAAGTAATGATTTAAGAATCTAAAGGAAACAAATAAATATAAAATAGGATTAGGTTAAAAAGATAATATTAAATTTATCGAAACGACGGGAAATCTTAAGTTTTTAATTAGAAAATTAAAGGAAAAGTTGTAGAAGAATATAATTTTAATATTATCAATTAATATTAGGCTATAAAATATATGTTGCTAATATGACAATAAACTACTCTTTACACAAAGCACTTAAAGACTTATTTAAACTGCAGAGTTCATCTATTTCATTTAACAATCTACAGCTAATTGCATCAAGCAAATTAAGATTGATTCAACGCACAACTCTAATAAGCAGCATATAAATGAGCAGCTTAGAAAGACTTAAGTAGAAAAATCAAAGTAGAGAATCATTGTGCAGAAATTTTAAAACAAATGGAATGGTAATATTAAGTTAAGTTCAAGAATCTTTCAATCTTAAGATATAATTGCTTCAGATTTTTCAAGTGTATGCGCTAAATTTAGCTAATTCATTTGATTAATTTACATTCATTGAAGAATGACAGTTTCGCCAATCGAAAAATTTTAAGTAAAATTGAAAATGAGAGAAAATTTAATTAAGAATTAGATTAGCCATTGAATGATCAATTGGTCACAGATCATCGACAATGCACATTAAACCGATAAATACCTGTGATAATAAGACATAATAGCAATTTGGGCACAGCTCCAAGTTTTCATTAAATCTACGCATCTGTCCGCAACGCATTCACGCATCTCTTCATTCAAATTGTTTTATCCGACCGACAATACGATCGACTAGCAGTAATGACCATAGAATAGCTGCGCGCGCATCTCTGCTACTCTGGACATCTTTCTCTCGGTCATACTATTTAGGGCATCCGGCAACCTCTTTTCACTCCATTTATGGCTAATGCAATGACAATACAAGCAAATTAAATTATTATATACGTATCAACGCGTACGATTATTTGAAATTATTTATTATATATACACGAGATCTATCGATTACCTATTAAAACAGAAGTTATTCCGTTTATCTTACACAGTATTTAGTACGTTATAATTATAGATATGCATTTTATTCCCAATTTTTTCGCAATTCGATAAATTACATACTGTACTCTTCCGTAAATAATAAGCAGAGTTTCTTCACAATATCATTAAATATGACTATTCTCAATTTTCAACACTTTTAATTATCAAAATCCATGAAATCATTACTATATATAAATATATATTTAAAAAATCTACCGATTAATAGTGCATCAATGGTTAGCAAAGCTCGTAGTATCGTGAATTAGCTAGGGCAATTCAATTCAAAGCCAATTACTTCGAAGTATAGCATTACAAGATCGAGAGACTAAAAAAATGTCAAATTAAATAAACTTATTGTCACGAACGATCCGACCGTTTTAAATTCAGCACTCGACCATCGTAAAAACGTCGACTTCTCATTGCGCACCTTATGGTATCACGTAAAAAAAGCGGCGAATGAGAAGGGGAAAATTGCACGTCACGCGAACTGATTTCACAATCATTTCGGTTATTTTGGTCTGACGTGCGGTAATGCACAAAACCACGACGATTCTCCAGTGCCATAATTCCCGAATGGCAATATGCGAACTTAATTGAATCTACCCAAATGTACAAATATATTCCCCTGCGAAATTTGGTTTTCATAGTTTCTATTTCTCCGTAACTCAAAACACGAAAACACGAGATCAATTGAAAGATAATTATCGTGGTTTTATTGAGAATTTATGGATGTAGAGAGATGGAAAGTTTACGCTCGAATGGAACAGATTGTTAAAATTAACCAAATGTGTATTAATTAATTCATTAAATTAAATACACCAACTATAACCTATTCTCAGCAATATTCCAATGTTTTATATTATAGGTTATGAAGCTCACACATACAATATAGAAGGTCTAATTATTCGGACGATCGCGTTTATCAGTATTTATTAATATCAAGATAAATTTAATTATTAGCAGTAGTACATTTATTAAATAAAATATTTCATCTGAAATACTGTATAAAACAATGTAATCTAATATTATTAAATACAATAAATAACAATTAATTCATAAAAAAAAATTGAACTTATATATGTACGTGGAAGTGTGCAGGCTCGCTAACGCGGTGTGTAATGAAAGTAATACATAAAGCATTAATTGAAAATTTCATTGTACTTTAATCGAATGGTAATAAAAATTTTTTTAAAAAACTCATAATAAAATATTATCTCTTATATCAGTAATGTGAAACATTATCTCATATAAAATTATTTTACTTATTATTATAACTTGTTTTATTAGCAAAATAAGAAAATAGCGTTTGATATATAACAAATTTTTTGCTTCGAAGCTTTCTGATTATACACATATATAAATATAAATGAATACTACAAACAAATCTATGTATATATTTATATCTTATTCACCGCACCATCGGACATAAATGAAAAAACAAAAATAGGAAGGATTTTCTTTTTTTTAATTATTGCTAACCATTATCTTATAAAATTTATTCTTTAGTTTTATAAAGTAAGATTCTATGACAATTATAAAAACATGCCTAAATAAGAATACATAAATCCTACGCCAAAAAAGATTAACAACATTTATTTTTGCATTTTAAGCAAATGAAAAAATATTTTGGTGAATTTTTGTATATGTATATTTCTATCTGTATATTCAAACATGATTATTCATACGAATACAAACTTTTTTTTTAAACAAGAAATCCATAATATTA